TCCAGTATTCGGAGTCTGGAATGTCTTTAGCACTCATGATATGTTAAAGTCTAGGACTGTTACATACATGGAGCTTGTGTTCAGTATTCAGTATGATTTTTCTCCCTAAATCTTTTTGACTAGGTATATATAATATAGAGGAAAGAACTTCTTGCATGCTATTTTTAGCTTCAGAAATTTCTTTGATTTTTTTAAATGATTTTTGGACATAATTGCATAAATGTGATTGGATGTGACAAATCTCTATAGCGGTTTTGGTGCCAATGCGACATTTTCAATTATATTTCATGTTTAACCTACTTTTATCCAGTCACATTTTTCTTTCTGGCCTCCATATAGTATAAATTTATCTGGTCATATTTCTATGTGCCTCTGTATTAACAAGTATCCTATCATATTTTCATTCTGATTGATTATAAATCTTGACTGCAGTTGAGGATATGTGCGGAAGATATCCAAATGCCACTGAGGTCAATATCTCTGGTGTACCTGCTGTTCACTTGCTTGCCATGAAAGCAGTTTCTTCTTTAAGGTAATGACCACAATTTGTTGTTTTTGTCGTTATTGTTTTTTTTTTTTTTAAAAAAAACTATTATTATTATTATTTTATTATCCTGATCTTGAATCTTTTTGCTGTTGTTCTTTATTCTATCATTGTTCCAGAAATCTGGAGGTTTTAACTCTGGGGAGAGGACAACTGGGAGATACCTTTTTTCACGCCCTGGCTGAGTGCCATTTGTTGAAGAGCTTGACTGTCAATGATTCTACGCTAGTTAATGTTACACAAGAGATACCTATAAGCCATGATAGACTGCGTCATCTTCATCTTACTAAATGTCGTGTTATGCGAGTATCTGTTAGGTTGCAACTGTCTATGCATCTTAATGCTAAATGTATTTGATTGTTGAGTGTTTTTTTTTTTTTTTTGGTCTGAAGTATGTTTTCTTGCAGATGTCCACAACTTAAAACATTGTCGTTGAAGCGCAGCAACATGGCACAGGCTGTTCTTAACTGCCCTCTTCTTCATGACCTGGATATAGGCTCTTGCCACAAGCTCTCAGATGTTGCTATTCGCTCAGCCGCTATTTCATGCCCACAGTTGGAATCTCTTGATATGTCCAATTGTTCATGTGTTAGTGATGAGACATTACGTGAAATTTCCTCGAACTGCCTGAATCTCCAGCTTCTGAATGCATCATACTGCCCAAATATATCTTTGGAGGTGGCATACCATTTTAGTTTAACTTTTAAGTGAAAATGACTATTTTCCCCTTCAGACTTCTTTTCTGATATTTTTGTTCCTTTTTTTTTTCCTGAAGTCTGTAAGATTGACAATGCTGACAGTGCTTAAGCTTCACAGCTGTGAGGGCATCACATCAGCTTCAATGACCGCAATATCTAGTAGTTCTAGTTTGAAGGTCTAAACTAACCTATTTCTACCTTTTCTGTTTTTTACTTGCCCGATGCTGTATCTGAATTAGTTGAAAATGGATTGGAGACTTATTGCAGGTTTTGGAGCTTGATAATTGCAGTCTTTTGACTTCCGTCTCTCTGGATCTTCCTCATTTGCAGAATATCAGACTTGTCCATTGCCGCAAGTATGTCTTCTCAACTTCACGCGACTTTTAGTGCATCCATCATGTGATTAATTTCATGTAGAATGACTTTTGGACTGGGCCTTCACTTCTTTTCCTTGAGTTGAATCAGTTTTGTTATTCTTGCAGATTCTCTGACTTGAGTTTACAGAGTGTTAAGTTATCATCCATAATGGTCTCTAATTGTCCATCACTTCACCGGATCAACATCACTTCCAATTTTCTTCAAGTATGTCACAATGGATCTTAAAGTTGTCTTCCTTACTAACTTCATCTTATAGGGGTATAAAAGAACATTGGGCTGTACTTTTGTGGACTTGCAGAAGTTAGTGTTGAAGAAACAAGAGAGCTTGGCCAGATTGGTTTTGCAGTGCCCTAGTCTGCAAGATGTGGACCTCACAGACTGTGAATCACTAACGAATTCTATTTGTGAGGTTTTTAGTGATGGTGGTGGCTGCCCTATGTTGAGATCGCTTGTTCTTGATAACTGCGAGGTAAGTTGCTTGTGCTACCCCTTAGTATCATGGTATTAGTCCTTGTGGTTTCATAATTTGCAAATTATTTGTTTTTGACTTTCCATTGATTCCTAATGTGAACATGTTTCTTTTTCTCAGAGTTTGACTGCTGTTCAATTCTGTAGCAGTTCTTTGGGCAGTCTTTCCCTTGTTGGTTGCCGGGCAATCACTTCCCTTGAACTTCAATGTCCTAATCTTGAACAGGTTTCTCTAGATGGCTGTGATCATCTCGAGAGAGCATCGTTTTCCCCGGTATGTGAAAGCTTCCTATTTGTGAATTTTTTTCAGTCACTATAAATATTTGCCTAGTGTTTAGGATTGAGGTTTCTTCTTTATCTCTCTTTTGTAAGGTTGGTCTGCGGTCATTAAACTTGGGAATCTGTCCCAAATTGAATGAGTTAAGACTTGAGGCCCCTTGTATGGATTTACTCGAGTTGAAAGGTTGTGGTGGATTGTCTGAGGCGGCCATCAATTGTCCTCGTCTAACATCATTGGATGCTTCCTTTTGTGGGTTAGTTTGTTATGATTATTTGGATGGCAACTTCTATTTGATAGATACTTGTTGCTTATGTCATTGAGTTCTTTTTCGCTTGCAGTCAACTGAAAGACGAGTGTTTGTCTGCAACGACTGCCTCATGTCCACAGATTGAGTCGTTAATACTGATGTCATGCCCTTCGGTTGGTTCAGAGGGTCTTTACTCTCTGCAATGTCTTCTGAAGTTGGTTGTGCTTGATTTATCATATACCTTTTTGATGAGCTTGCAGCCAGTCTTTGAGTCTTGTATACAACTTAAGGTAACCTTTGTTTTAGATATATTTCTGTTTAGGCTGTTTAGATTTTACTCAAATATTATTATGAGCCTGTCTGATCTTCTGTTGTATTGATGCTTCTTTCCTTATACTCTGAATGAAGGTATTGAAACTACAAGCATGCAAGTATTTATCTGACTCATCGCTAGAGCCTCTTTATAAGGAAGGTGCTCTTCCAGCCCTTCAAGAGTTGGACTTATCTTACGGGACACTCTGTCAATCTGCCATAGAAGAGCTTCTTGCTTGTTGCACACACTTAACTCATGTGAGCTTAAATGGATGTGTGAACATGCATGATCTAAATTGGGGTTGTAGCATTGGACAGCTTTCTTTGTCCAGCATCCCCATTCCTCTTGGTCAAGCCACTCTTGATGAGATTGAGGAACCAGTTGCACAGCCAAATCGTTTGTTACAGAATCTTAACTGTGTAGGCTGTCAGAATATTAGGAAGGTTCTCATTCCTCCAGCTGCACGTTGTTTCCATTTATCGTCATTAAACCTTTCCCTGTCTTCAAATCTCAAGGAAGTCGACGTTTCTTGTTACAACCTATGCTTTCTTAATTTGAGGTCATACTTCCTCACCCTTTTGCTCCATTAACAATGCTAGTCGGGTATTTTTTGGTCTATTTTGCTAAATCCGTGTTTTTGTGGTCTAGTAATTGTTGCTCTCTGGAAGTTTTGAAACTCGACTGCCCAAAGTTGACCAGTCTCTTTCTTCAGGTATTTATTTCTTCTTCCATGTACATTTTGGATGTTAATACAACTCCACTCTGAATAGTCCAGAATCTTGTCTTCCGAGTAAACTGAAATGCGGGCGGGTAAAAGATGGGGTCAAGACTGGGGTAGAACTCCCACCCACACCCCCTCTGCCGGCCTCTGGTTTTAAGGACCCTTCTACCCACACCCCCTCTGCCGGCCTCTGGTTTTAAGGACCCTTCTCCACTTGAAATTTTGTTGGGATAGGAAGTCATCCATTGTAGGAATCATTTGATTAAAATTGTTGGATTTTTATTTTTCCTCTTTTGTTGTCTGAACAATACTTAGGTTTCAAACTTTATACACCTTATGTGTCTGTATCTGTGATGTCTGAAGCCCCCCTCCAAAAAAAAAACAAAGGACCAAAAGACATGAAAAAGAACAAAAGAAATTGGAGTTAAGAGATGCATATGATATGAAACTAACTAGATCTGTGTTTCCCTAGTCTTGCAACATCGAGGAAGAAGCGGTTGTAGCTGCAGTATCTAAATGTAGCATGCTCGAGACGTTGGATGTCCGCTTTTGTCCAAAGGTGGGGGGTGTCTCTCTTTCCCTTTTCTACATTGTTTGATAGTTTTTGCTGACTTTGAAATATTTCTTTCTACCGGCAGATCTCCTCAATTAGCATGGTACAACTGCGTATCGCTTGTGCCAGTTTGAAGCGGATCTTCAGCAGTCTGTCTCCAACATGACTAATTCTTCTCTTCCCTACAAAATTTTCCTCCCACCTGTTAATTCCGAGTTCGGGAGACGACCCAAGTTTCGCTTTATGTACATGGATGGTCTTGAATTCTGTCAGCTTCCATTTGCTTGGGGTATATAGTTAGTTTATCTTTGTGACAGCTTAAAAAATAAGTTATCTCTTGTCTATATTGCTACCACCCAAGTTAGCCTTCCATCTTTAATTCAGTTTTGCAGTGTCTATGAGAGATTAAAAAGGAGTGATTGTGAACACATTATTTTCAAGTTTCTGTGGATACAATCAGTGAACTGTTCATCCTATTATTACGTTTCTGATTCTGAACCATTAGTGCCACCGATATCTTTAAAGTTCATGCTTTAATTTGAGAAGATTACCCTGAAAAATGTTCTAATGGACGCTTGTTGGCGCCTTTATGGAAAACTCTAATGGGTCATTGTTGTGGTGCCGACACTCAAATTTGAGCACTTCCACGCGACAAATTTGTTCGCATATACAAAAACATACATGGAATATTATAATGGAGAGAGTAGATGAGGACATTCGAGACAGCTTTGGCTGAGAAATGAACGAACAGCCACCGACAATACCTCACGAATCAACACGTGAAAATGTTATCAACAAAACAAAAACAAAGAAATGGCCGATGGTGGTTGCTGCCGATCTGTTTGGTTTGGGCCCTAATAATGAAATCCTGTGGTTTTTAGTTACTCACTCACCAATTCAATGGCCGCTGCCCTTCGAGTGAAACACAAGTTTCTCCGTCGCTTAAATCTCACTTTTTCTTCATTCCTCATTCTGACTTAATCTCTCTTTCTCTCTCTCTCTCTTTCTTTCTCCGAAAGACAGCTCTATGGCGACCAAGATTCTATGGTGTCTCTTGTTTTGTGCTCTGTTCGTTTCTGTGTTTTCTGCAGCTGATTGTAAGTCGATATTCTTCTCATACCCATTTGCTTCATTTTTCTTACTTCAACAGCCATTTTTTGTCTCTTTAAGCTTATGATTTCAAAGTTCTTCTGTGTATAGGGCATTTTTTTATTCTAGATTTGAAGATTCTCTTTTGGGTATGTTGTAATTGATCTGCATTTGATCTGGGAGCTTCTGTTTTTTCTTCTTCTTGAATGTTCAACCAATAATTGCCAATGGGTTTTTGCATTCTTACCTAAATGATTGATTGGTAACAGCCACGAACATTTCTAAGTTCAGATCTGTTGCCCCTTCCTGCTGATTGCTTAGTTTCTGATTTTGTTTGTGTTCTTGAGAGTATGAGAACTTACCTGCTGTTGATCTGGAACAATTGCAGCAAATGTGACAGATAACCCTGCTGATAAACTAGTAGTCGTGCTTAACAAGAACAGAACTGCTCACAAATTACCTGCTCTAAAAGATAATCCTGGCTTGGCATGCCTTGCTCTTCAGTATATCAAGGCATACCAAGGGAAATGCGACGCGGTCGGAGGTCCCGACGGAATGAAGCCTCCAAATTCTGCATTTACTGAAACATTTGCTCCCAATTGTGGAGTTCTTGTCTCTTCTCTTGCTCCCATCACTGGGCGGTTGCTTGGTTGCCAGTCTAAATATGTTCATGCTCCTGAAGCATTTTCTGATGTTTTGATGCTGAATGAGAAGAGCTTGGAGATTCTCAACTACAAGAACAACACAGAAGTTGGAGCTGCTGTGACTGGCACTGATGGGGGCTCGCCCTACTTTTGGTGTGTGTTGTTCAGCAATGGCAGCCTCTCTAATAGCTTTGCCTTTGAGGGAGGTGTGGCTAAGTTAACGCGGCCTGGTTGCTACAGTGGGGCTAATGACCAATGCAGCAAAGCCAATAGCCAATTCTTAACCACACGTATGTTGCTATTAGCTTTGACATCTTTGGTTGCTATAACATATGCCTTTGGTTTATGATCATCAGCTCTCATCCAAACATGAAACCTCGTATTCTTTGTTTGATTCTATGGTTTTTGATTTGTTTTTGGTGTGCCCGATTCGTGCTTTTCTGTTATCAAGTCGTTATATATTGTAATATCTCATGAATTCATGGATCTCATAGGAGCCATTTTTCTCAGTGAGCTGATATAGAAAGTTCCAGTGTATTAAGTACTGTGATGTTTGAAATGAATCAGATTTTTTTAGCTGATGTATGATGATGAAATGGCCTTTTTGGACTTTCCCCTCTTGCCTCTCCTCAAGATTTTAAAACTCGTTTGCTAGGGAGTGGTTTTCACACCCTTATAAATAATGTTTTGTTCCCCTCTTTAATAGATATGGGATCTCACAATCTACCCCCTTGGTAGCCGAGCGTGTCCTCGTTGGCACACCATCCGGTGTCTAGCTCTGATACCATTTGTAACGACCCAAACCCATTACTAACAAATATTGCCCTCTTTGGGCTTTCCCTTATGGGCCTCCCCTCAAGGTTTTAAAATGTGTATGCTAGGGAGAAGTTTCCGTACCCTTATAAAGAATGTTCATTCCCTTTTCCAATAGATATAGGATCTCACAATCCACCCTCATTGTCACAATCCGTCGAGTATTTGACTCTGATACCATTTGTAATGACCCAAATCCACCGCTAACAAGTATTGTTCTCTTTGGGCTTTTCCTTTTGGGTCTCCCATCAATATGTTAAAACCCGTTTGCTAGAGAGAGATTTCCACTGTTATAAGGAATGTTTTGTTTCCATCTGCAACAAATGTGAGGTCTTGGCTTTCTCATGAAACCACTCTGATATCCCATATCTGTTAGAGAGGGGAACAAAAACTCCCCATTGGAGAGGGGAACAAAACATTTCTTATAAAAGTGTGAAAACCTATGTCTGCCAGATGAGTTTTAAAACCTCATCTGTTGGGGAGGGGAACAAAATATTCCTTACATGAAAACCTCTCTCTACTAGATGAGTTTCAAAACCTTGACGGGAGTGGGAAAGTCCAAAGAGGGCAATATTTGCTAGCAGTGGACTTGGGTCCGGGGTTGTTACGCCTCAAATACTTATATGAAACAGAAAACGCTTCAATCCGAATACGCCATAAATTTATGCTACAAAAAGAAAAGAAAACTGCAAAAGGTATAGATTTCTTCAACTCTAAGCTTACTATCCATTGATGAAAGTAAAAGGTATGCTGAAAGTTAAGAGCAGAGAGAGAAGAATTTGGAAAGCTAAGCGTTCAAGGGTCCCAGAACATTAAAGAAGCTTTACATTTCAAAACAAATGCAAGAAGCAGAAGAACGATGAATATGCCACAGGAAGAGCCACCTACTCTGTGAATCCAATAAGCATCAAATCTGGCGCATCTCTGTTCCAAGTGAAGCACTCCAGCAATAATGAAGATCAAGGTCATGAGAAGAGCAGGCAACCAGAACCCAAGATTCATGGACGATTCCTCCTCCTCCTCCGCATCAAAGCTCGGTCTCCGGTCGATATAGAGCGGCGAAACCACTGCAAGAATCCCAAGTCCTACTGCCACCCACCGGTCGTACGAAGAAAACCGGCTCCTCCTCGACGTAGCCCCGATCCCGACCTCCATGGAGATGGAAAACCAACCGAGTCCCGGCTCCCTCGAAGTCGCGTGGTTGCTGCTGCAGCAATGGAACTAACTGTTTGATGGTTGGTTCTTGTTTAGAGAATGGGAAAGTTTTTGGTTAATGAAGAGGGAATTTATTCTGAAGATGAACGAGTCTTAAAGAAGCTTAGTTTTTAGAAGAATTATTCGCCATTAACCAACGGTGCCTCGCTCGGTTCATTGTTGTTATTATTTTGGTTTGGTATCTGATTCCATTGCCGTTAACTGAAATATACAAATAAAAAAATTGGTTATTTATTTAAAAATATAAAATAAAAATTTTGTAAAAATATATTAACTTATTTTAGAAGATTTTTATTAATTGCATTAACTTCCAATTCTAGCCTTTCATCGAGAACAAATAATCTAAAAACTGGTTCTGCTCGTGTCTTTCTCCTTAGGCCTAGAAGCAAGTCGAGCGTGTAAGAAAATCCAAATATCTTGAATGAATGTTTATTTTGATGACCTCGTTTTCTCAAATAGGACAGGTCAGGAGTGGGTGCGTTAGTGCGCCCTCCCTATTTTGAATGGGTGCTCAGAAGGTCGAAGTCGATTATTGTTCCATTATTTCACGGGACTTTTAGGTAAGCTGTAATAATGAAATATAATTTAATACTAATTATTTTACTTATTTAATAAGTGTAAAGGTTTATTTATTAAAGATGTATTTTCCTAAATATAATAAAAATCGCGCGCGTGTTTTTTTTTTTTTCTGGGTCCGCTTGGGTTAAAATTACCGGTCGACCATCGCAAGGGAAAAAGAATACGGAAAACATGGATAGAGGATATGACGTGGCAGCTGCAGTTCATACCGAAAATTTAGCCAAGAGCGTCTGCAATTCAACTACCACATGCTCTCCTCGTTGAAATATTGGCCACCAATTCTCTTCCCTCTCTGAAACTATCAGTTCCGGCGCCGGTCCGATGCTCTGATGGCGGCCGATTTAGCGCGGCTCTCTCTATGGCATCACCAGAGGCAGTTCTTTCACTCCGCCTCTAAATCTCAGGCTTCTTTGTTTGACTCTAGGCCTGGATTTCTCCCCATACGGCATCGTCCTCAGAGTTTAGTATGGAAACAGTATCCACGCCGTTTTGGAAGATGCTTGGGGCATCGTTTCGTTGTTTCGAATACTCTTGAGGCCGAACTTCGAGCTCAGAACACAGTGCTTCAACAGGAGCGGCGGGATGAGTCTTCTGTTCTTCTTGATGTCTCTGGAATGATGTGTGGTGCATGCGTCTCCCGAGTCAAATCCATTCTCTCGTCCGACGACCGAGTTGACTCTGTGGTGGTTAATATGTTGACTGAGACAGCAGCGATTCGGTTGAAATCGGATGAAGTTGGCGCGGAGGCTGGTTCTGCGGTGAATGTGGCGGAGAGTCTGGCGCGAAGACTGACGGATTGTGGCTTTCCAACGGTTTTGAGGAATTCGGAGGTTGGAGTGGCGGAGAATGTGAGAAAATGGAAGGAGATGGTTGAGAAGAAAAGAAAAATGCTGGTTAAGAGTAGGAATCGAGTGGCTATTGCTTGGACTTTGGTTGCCTTATGCTGTGGCTCACACGCATCGCATATCTTGCACACCTTTGGGATTCACATCCACCACGGTATTTTTGCAATCTTGTAACTATTTATTGTTTCAACCTCAGTGTATGTCATATGGATGGCTCAATTTTGAAATACAAAGAATTAATAGGCAGTCCGGACTTTCATAAGTTCTGAATTCATTAATTTGAGTCGTAAACTATGGGACCTGTATAATAGTGGTTTGAAGCAAATATGAAATGTTTCTGGTAATATTTAAGCATTTTCGGAGTATAACGCAAGTGCAGCCTCTATTTGAAGTCAAATTGAATTAAGTTGGCTTATTTTGACGTTTCAGGACCAGTGATGGAGATACTTCATAACTCGTATGCGAAGGGTTGTTTTGCTTTGGTTGCTCTTTTAGGACCAGGACGAGGTCTGTTTATCCACTTTATTTTAATTGTTTATACTGCTACTTTCTGAAAACAAATCGATTAGCATCATGGAAAGATTGCTTAGTACACAAGATTATTAAGCTAGCATTAGACTTCTTTGTTCTATTTCTCCCCTTCCTCGTGTCATTTAGCCGTTGGAGTGTGGAGACTCTGTTTGACTACTAAATAACTGAGTCATTTTAAAGGCCTTTGTTGAGCAGTTATTAGTATTTCGGGCCTTTTGGATAGATAGTAGTGTTTCTTTACTGCTAATGGTAGACCACCCAAACTTGCTACTATGATCTTGTATGATGTTCAAAACGATAGTTTGCTGCAGAACTACTCTTTGACGGTCTGAGGGCATTCAGGAAGGGATCACCTAATATGAACTCTCTTGTGGGTTTTGGGGCAGTTGCTGCATTTATTATCAGTGCGGTAAGGCGATTTGTCAAAGATATCAAGTTCTCCCCGTCTATTATTTGGTTATTTATTTTTTTAGAGAAGCATTGCTGTAGTCTAATATGAACGAATTTTAAACTCTCTCTTGTAGGTCTCACTTCTTAATCCTGAGCTAGACTGGGATGCCTCATTTTTTGATGAGCCGGTGACTTGCTCGACCTTCTGCTGTATCGTCTTGATTCAATTGATAATATTTCCTCTATGTTCACATTCAATTTAGTTTATTAAATTTTCTGGGATATGAAGGAATTTGGCTCTTGATTTTGCATTTCTCAGTGCAATTCCTTTTTTAGTGAGCAGGTCATGCTTCTTGGTTTTGTGCTTCTTGGGCGTTCTCTGGAGGAAAGAGCAAGGGTTAAGGCCTCTAGTGATATGAATGAGCTTTTAGTAAGTTTCAAACGAATCTTAAACAGTAAAACGTTACAATGCATGTTTCTATTGGATTGTTATCATGGTTGAATATCAAGTTATTGCCACATGCTTTCTCCTTGGGATATTCTATTGCTGTCAGAAAAGAAATTCTTAACCAATTAAAAAATTTCATAAAGCAATGAAAAAGTTACATGTCGTTAATGTGACCTTCCAAAATTTAGCAGGTGTTAATCAAAATCATCCATTAAATTAGATGACATGACGTTGGAAACCAAAAGATGGCATGTGTCTTTCTTGTGCCTATGTGATGCAATATATTAGACATGTGAAAGTTGGATCCAAATAAGTCAGCCTATGTGTAGCCAAGGCCTATGAAACCCCTACACCCGGAGGAGGCCATTCAACGTTCAAGACATCATTTAGAAAGTGTCAAAATAGAAGACAGTTTGAAATTATAAGGCATTCAAGATTTTGAAAACTAAATTTCACAAATTCTAAAGATTTTTTATGGTTAAAACTTCAGAGCTTCAGCCTATTATAAGTACAAAGTTTAAGTTTAAGGCTCCTTGATTCAACATATATGTTGATCACCCTTGAGTCGAAAGTTATATCTAGCGAGTTTGTATGGAATCGTGGTTCTCTATGGCATACTAGGCTCCTTGTTTCTTCTATTGTTCCAATAATTACTTTTGTGCTTATTAACACATGAATTAGACTATGTAACTTGTTAGGGTGTGATACATGTGGCTCTAGCATTCCCTTTTCTCCTAGTTGCGTGTCCCAAGTTGTTTATTTATTTAAATATTCACGTTTTGGCAGTCGTTGATCTCTTCCCATTCACGACTTGTGATTACTCCATCAGAAGGCAATTCCTCTACAGATGATGTGCTTTGCTCGGATGCAATGTGCATTCAGGTGTCTACCGATGACATTCGGGTTGGAGACTCTGTTTTAGTTTTGCCTGGAGAGACTATTCCCGTGGATGTAAGATCAGAGATTATTAGTGAACAATGCCTCTTTATTTGATGGCCCAAATGACCGTGTCAATAGTTATTTTTCTCAACCACACATGTCATCTTCCTCTGCCTTCTATAAGATCTCCATTATCAATAGATGCTGCCCTACCTTAAGGAGGGGCGATTTGAAAATGCTTGGCTAACAATAAGATTGATGAACAGGGAAAGGTTCTTGCGGGAAGAAGTGTTGTAGATGAATCAATGCTTACTGGGGAATCTCTACCTGTATTTAAGGAAGCAGGCCTTATCGTCTCAGCTGGAACTGTGAACTGGGTATGATTTTTCATTGATGTTTAGGATTTCAAACTGCGTGTTTATTCAGATTTACATACAAGTGTGATTTGCCACATTATTTTAAAGAAGGCGACTTTTTTTTGGGAATAAATCAAAATCGATATCTTCTAGGATGGCCCTTTGAGAATTGAAGCGTCTTCTACTGGCTTGAACTCAACAATCTCCAAGATTGTGAGAATGGTAAGTGAACCATTTTCTTAAATTTATATTTCTACAGGAATTACATTGGTATGCATAGTGGTAAATTGCCTTTTCTTAATGGGCTACCTTGTAAAATTAACGACCACAATAGTAATATTTTCTTTTGGGCATCTACTACAATTTCAAGATATTATCAGGTCTACAGTTGGAGGGTTCACTGTTACATGGGCTGCGATTTGAGTCATCCTTGCTTATGAATTCCTCTCCACTGCACAGACATTGAAAAGATTACTGCTTAAAACTACTGGGTGAAGGAGGGACAGATATTTCTGGTTGCTTAAAAAGGAAAATGTTTTTGCTTTAGGTGAACTTAATTAAAAACTAGCTTGGATTTGGAAAAAAAAAAAATTCACAAAATTTATCAGCTCGATTCAAGTTATCCTTGCATATGAATTCATTTCCACTGCACGTACTTTGAAAAGATTGCCGCTTAAAACTACTGAGTGAAGGAAGGACAGATATTTCCCTGATGAACCCATACTTAAAACTTTATACATAACCATCAGGTTGAGGATGCACAAGGCCATGAAGCTCCAATACAAAGGCTTGCCGATTCCATAGCTGGGCCATTTGTGTACACTGTATTAACTCTCTCAGCGGCAACATTTGCATTTTGGTAAGCATGTGATTCTTATTTTTCTATTTGATGAAACTCTGGTGTTTAATGTCTGAAAGGGTGGTGAAGGGCCTAAGAAGAATTTGGGTCAGTTCATAATGAACGTTGTATATGTCTAACATGATCTGAAGATGATAATTACTATTGTTATGGAGGTTCCTTGAGAAATGTACAATTTATCTATCTTTTTAGTTAACTCAACTATAAAGAGTGTTTTGCTGCGATATGCTTGTTTATTTACATGGTAACAATTAATTTCCAGGTACTGCTTTGGTACCCATATCTTTCCTGAT